AACAATACTGATGTGCAGTAAAGCAGTTTCTATCCTTGGAAATTTTGCCCTTTGTCCTTTCCTGATAGATAAAACTCTTACTTCTTACCCATGGTGAGTTTGAAGGTTAATGAATTTTGAATGGGAATAGGCAACACACTGTGACGGCCCTGATTAATCATTAGTCTCTCTCCATTTATGTCACAGTCTCACTTTGTACAGTGATTCTGCATGTGCATATATCTGATTATACTTTGCCCCTTTTCTCAAAGTGAAGTTTTCTAATTTATGAAAGCTTAGTAACTGTCTCGGGATTTTAAGTGTGTTCTTTCCACAGCTATGGTATTTAAGCAATGTGTAGTCAAGTCTGGACTGTCTCTCTGCCTTTTCAGACAGCAGCTCCCCAAACCGACCCTCTATGTCCCACACATACTCCAGTACTGATTTCAAGACGTGAAAGGCGTTACAACACTCTGTCCTAAAAGTGATCAAAATCTATTTTGTCCTGTAGATTGTACTGAAGCACAAGATCAAGAAAAACTTAACAGAAACAATGTTTAGCAAATGTAATGAGGAAAAGGAAAAAGTACCCTCTCAGATTTTTCTCTTCCTGACTTCTATAGCCAGCCCTTTCTTCTGATGAATCCCCAGTAGAAAAAGTGGATCTGAGATCCAACCTTGTGCTTAAGAGATTTTTCCTATTAAATGATACCTGTCTCCTCCCTTAAGAAAGCCAAAAAGAACAGTAGGTTGGTATTGTGCATTGCCTCTCAAACTTTTATGTAGGCATGAATTTCCTAGGGATCTGGCTAATGCAGAAATAGGAGTTCCCGGGTGGGGCCTGAGATTGTGCATTGCTACCAGACTCCCCGGTGGTACTGATACTGCGGGTCCAAGCACCACACTTTAGAGTCTCGAAGGGGTCTATAGAGGAAAGATTGAAGGCTTTGTAGTGGGACAGACTTCACAAGCCTAGATCCCAGAGCTGACTTCTTGACAGCTGTTCATATTTAACCTTTCTGAAACTCAGTTAATATTCCTTTTGATTGGGGTTGATATCTACTTCATGTTGTTGTCATGGGGATAAAAGGAGATAAATCATTTTAAAAAACCTGTAACAGGGTGTCATCCCAGAACATATAGAATTTAATGATAGTTCTCATTATCCTCCTCCCTAGGAAGTGATACATCTCTATGTGGGAAGTTTTCTAGATTTATGCAAAGGAGCTTGAACTAGACTCCTCCTCTTTCTTGGGTAATTTTTATTACACTTACTACAAAAAAAAAAAAAAAGATGGAAATAACTTTCCTGACTGGGGCTTTTTGATGGGGGATGGAAGTTGATAAACATGATGATTAGCTCTTAGAAAAATTCCTTTCATTTACCTAATTATTCCAGCTGTCTTTACGAGCATACTTGATTGCCCTGGTGGGCAGGATATCCTAGGGAAATTCTCAGACCCTGATCACTGAAACATATCTATGACATCCTTTGCCCGTAAATATCCATTTAATTCCAGCATTACCCAAAACCAAACCCACTGCTATCAAGTCAATTCAAACTCATGGCGACCCTATAGAACAGAGTAAAACTGCCCTATAGGGTTTCCAAGGCTGTAAATCTTCACAGAAAAAACTGCTTCATCTTTCACTGTTGGAGTGACTGATGGGTTTGAACCACCAACCTTTTGGTTAGCAGCTGAATGCTTTAACCACTGAGCCACCAGTGCTCCTTAATTCCAGCAATACAAGGTTTTAATTGTGGATAAGAATGAGGGTTCAATCCCAGAGGACTAGTGTCTAATTCACAGTCTCCCCAGAATCTTCCTGACACTTCCACAGAGCAGAAGGTGAATTAATTTTGTGAAACGTTCCAGGAAGGACTGTTAAAAAGGGACAGCATCTTCATACTAAGATGGCTAAAAGGAAAATAACAAATGTTGGTGAGTCTGAAGTAGAGAAATCGAAATTCTTGTCCATTTCTGGTTGTTGTTGTTGTTGTTATGTGCCATCAAGTCAGACCCGACTCATAGTGACCCGTCTTTGGGTTTCCGAGGCAGTATCACCACGGAAGTAGATTGCCCAACCTTCCTTCAGAGGAGTGGCTGGTGAGTTTGAACCACCAGCCTTCTGGTTAGCAGTCAAGTGCCTTAGGCACTACGCCACTAGAGCTCCCCCCTCCATTTCTGTTAAGTGTAAAATGGTACAGCTGCTGTGGAAAGCATTTGGTGGCTCCTCAAAAACATAGAATTAGCCTGTGATCCAGCATTTCTACACCTAGATAGATACCCAGAAGGCTTGAAACAAGAACTGAAGCAGATACTTGTACACAAATGTTCATTACAGCATTCTTCACAATAGCCAAAAGATAGAAACGACAGATGAACAGATAAACAAAATGTGATACTTCTTTACAATGATATATTATTCAGCCGTAAAAAAAGGAATGAAGTACTGATACATGCTGCAATGTGGATAAACCTCAAATACATTATGGTAAATTTAAAAAAACAGATATAAAAGATCACAGATGCTATGATTCCATTTAAATGAAATGCCCAGAATAGATAAATCCATCGCGCTGGAAAGCAGGATGATGGTTGTCAGGGGTTGGAGGAAGAGGGGATAGGGAGTAACTGCTTAATGAGTCTGAGATTTCCTTTCGGGGTGATGAAAATGCCTTGGAACTAGATAGAGATGATGGTTGCACAGCATTGTGAATGGACTAAAAGCCACAGAATTGTACACTTTAAATGGTTAAGTTTATCCTATATGCATTTCACCTGGATCCAAAAAATATATAAAAAGACAGCATGCTCCAGAAAAGCAAAGACTACAGTCTTATTCCAAAAGTCTCAGCCTCCGACAACGGAAGGAAAATGACTAGATGATGTGGTGAGTCACTTTCCCCAATCAAAAGGAATTGAGGAAAGGTTAATGAATGCAAGACAAGAATGTAGCCTTTCTTCATTAAGGCACAAATATTCCATTTTGATTAGTAGTAGATGCTCCTTCTTAGTTGGCTCTACAAAATAATCCCATTAGGTAGAAGTGTAGTTTATGAACAATAAAAATGACAGCACTAATGAGGAACATTTTATCCTCTGAAGGCTGTTCACTGTAAACACTAACAAAGTACAAGCTTCTACCTGGTTATGGGTATTTGAAAGCCTTGTGGCATGATATATAATCATAAGAAAGTTATATTCTAACATAGCTGCAAAACAAAACAAAAATGAGCACAACTGGGAAAGAGAAAAATCAGAATCAAAGTATGTTTTTTTCCAAGTTTGCAACAAATAAAACCACTGACTGGACTTGAGAATTAGAATGAGCCTGGGATGTCATTTAGTCCAACATCCTCCAAAGTCAGGTCAGAGCTATGTATCTTTTATCACAATGCTTCTCAACTATGAAGAAACAAACAGTGCTAATAGCCTCCTTTGTAATATTCTTCAAAAGTTATTATAATACATTGGTTTTGCCACTGCATACAATGTTTAAGACTGGGAGCTCTGGTGGCATGGTGCCTAAGGCATTTGACTACTAACTAGTAGGCTGGCGAGTGTTGTTGTTGTTGTTATTATGTGCCGTCGAGTCAAACCCGACACATAGCGACCTCTCCTTGGGTTTCCGAGGCAGTATCACTACAGAGGCTGGCAAGTAGGCTACCTCAAATAAGTATTTGCTGATTTTCTGCATTGGCTGAACTCTTCTGGAACAGAAGAACTACTTCTGGAAAGTAGGTGAAAGTCCAACCTTGGCTCAGATGGATCCCTGAAGGAGCTTTTACAAAAGTACCTTGATTAAAGGAGTCAGGGGTGTCCTAAGCTTTGGAGTAGATCATCTTAATCTCATCTTCCAATGATTATCTTAATCTCCATCAATATTTTCCACCCAAAAGAAATTTCTTCCATGCTTCCCTACACCCTAGGGTCCAGCATCTAAAGGATTTGGCTGCATAAGAATTATAATGAAATTCAGAAACAAGGTCTCCCCACATTTTTCTATGCTGATGTCTCTATAAAGTTAAAATTGCATTTTGGGAACAACTCAGAAAAGGAGGGTGAGATTGGTTGAGCAACTTGAAGAATGTAATCAATGTCACTGAAGTATACATATAGAAATGGTTGAATTGGTATGTTTTGCTGTGTATATCCTCAACAAAAAAAAAAATTTATTTTGAATACTGAATCTTGGATGGAATTTAAAAATTCTTCATTTCATGTTAATTACATGGGATATTTGAGGGAACATTATATTCATCTAAACACAGACAAACTTTTTAACTGGATAGTTTATGTGGGAAAGGTTACTTATAGGTAATGGAAGAAAAAAAAAATAGAAGTAATGCCTCAAGTCCTCCCTCAAGCTAAAGGCAAGGTAAGAATTTGAAATTAAAGCAAACTGAGCTTGGCAGTAAAGGGTTCTATGAGGAAGAGACAAATTCACTTAAAGAGAAATCATGAAATACGTTTGTATGTTTCAGGAACTGTTTACTTTTCCTGTCTGTGTATCTGTGCATGCACACGTATATATATATGAATAGGAGGCAAGTGTGTCTAGTCACTTAAGCGTCTAGAGATCATTTTTATGTCTGGATGCAGTATACATTTATGTACCTACTATTGCATTATACTAAGAAAAATAAAGAGAAAAATTGTAGACATTTTTGAAATCTTTTTTAACTGAAAGGACTTAAAAGAAACCAAATAAAATGATTCTTTTAATCCTAACCCAATCGTATTATTTCACAGTAACATCATTTTAGTAATTTAGGATAACTTTTTGCTCACATTTAATTTTTGTTTTCCTTTTAAGCTCTGTGACTTCTTCCTTAGTTAGACATGACTGTCTTGGTATTATAGCAGAATGTGGTGTGTGTATATATATATAGCATTCTCTGAAGATTATAGTGCTTTCAGCATGAAAAGTGTAGTTTCCAAAGCAACAATGACTGAAAATGTTTATTCCTTGCTATTAGTAGTGGAAAATTAACATTTGCTGTTTATGTTCGACAGGGTCAACCAGGGTCAGTTGGCCCCCAGGGATACAACGGGCCCCCAGGACTACAAGGTTTCCCGGGATTACAGGGCCGCAAAGGTGACAAAGGTGAAAGGGGAGCTCCTGGAATAACAGGCCCAAAAGGAGAAGTGGTATGAATAATTGTTAATATTCCCTCTGATTTGGAGAAGGGTAGGGAGTATTTTGGCCTCCATTAAGTTTGTTTGCTTTCTTCATAGGGAGCAAGAGGCGTTTCTGGCTTCCCTGGTGCTGATGGAATTCCTGTAAGTTTTTTTGGAAGAGTTGAATTTTAGAACACTGTGCACATTCTGAGCAATACTCTTACGGTTTAAAGAAACATTTTGAGCTAAGCCTTCTCTTTTGTTTATAGCATACAACTTCTGGAGCTATATATGCATATTTTCCTCCTGGAATCCAGTCAAATATTGGATGAATTGTGTCCTTTGTAAACTTTCTGCTAGACTTGGCTTTAGAATTGAGGCTACTTTGCTAAAACTAGATACTGTTTGGTAATAAAAGCTATAATGTTACTCAGATAGGCTCAATGAAAAGTCAGTCTAGAAATTTTGTCTGAACTATAAACCAACCTGAATATAAAGTAGTCCAGCAAAGAAGCTGGAGGCAATGAAGCCCTGCTGAACATTTGTGTAGCTTCTCAAATTCTTTGTAGTAACCACACATAAAATGAGAAAGCATTGTTCATGGGAAAATCTCAAAATGCAATAAAATGTGTTTTTCTAACCTAGTTTACTTTACTTCTTGTAGCATAAAAAAATAAACAAAACAGCCTGACTCACAGCCTTCTTCACAGGGATCCCTGAGCAGATTTCTCAGGCCTGGCTTCCTGGCCAGACCCTGACATCAGGACCTCTGTTTATCACACATTCCGATCCGCCTTCCATCCTTCTACTGTTACAGTTTTAAGACATCTGCTTCAGGAACCCCACACATATACACAGATGTTTATGCTCTTACCTTCCGTATACATGTTCTCTTTCACCACAGACACACACATACACGCACACACGCCTGACACACACAAGGAAAGAGAATTTCTTCTTTCTCCAGACTTCACAAGTAAGGCTGCTACTTGGCAGGAGAATAGAAGGAAGGGAATGGGTGGAGAGTGGTCACAGATTCTTTAGATCTTCAGCTCCATGTTCTAGAAGAATTTGGCAACAGTAGAGGAAACGGTCAGAGTGAAAGAATGAAAGTTGCATTGACCAAGACATGAGACCTATGTGGCTGGTGATCCTATTGTCACCTGAGTGTGAGCTCCAATATACACATCAGTTACAATACCCAGCTATGAACAAATATGGAAACAACTTTTATATTAGTTATAGTCTGGAGAAACTGGAAGAGTTATTTTGATTTTTTCCAGTATTTTCCTAAAAACTGCCTAGAACTAAATTCTAACTTACAGACTACCTTTTAAAAAATAATAATAATTAAAAAAACCTCTTTGGATCTTTAATCAGCTTTGTCTTTCAGAAATTGAAATCTGAATTTAAATGTGGTGACATTCAAGAAAAGAAGTTGCAATTAATGTATATCATAGTTTAATTCATTTTTCAACTTCCATACTCACTTGACATCAAAAGCCAATTGCAGAAATCAGGGAGGAATTTATTGTCATATGAGGGAATGGTTATGTGAGCAGATGATTGATGATTTTCTGAAGAATCTTGATTACTAAAGAAGCTTGGTGCCACTTAATCTCAGAGCTCTGGTGATGCAAATTAAGTTAACTTCAGTGTTACCACAATGGCTAATCAGTTAAAGAAGGTAGAGTTTGAGAGACCTGGATAATTTTATTTAGAAGTCATACATAAAAAGTGATGCCCAGTAAAAACTTGGCGTTGTATCATAAAGTACCTAATGAAATATGGAGCAATAGGAGATGCACTTGCTCAATATTATTGCTCAATGTGACAAAAAATTTTCTTTGAAGCACAGTTTCAAACTAAGAGCAGATTGACATGCAATTCCAAATGCTTAGCTCAATTCTAAGTGAGTAGGAAAGGCTAACAGCAGACTGATAAACCAGGACAAGAGCTAAAAGGTCGGAAGCACATTTTTAGCAAACACATCCCTGCATACTAAAGATCTGGAGCAGAATGCTAGACAGCTTGTTTTCTCAGCCTGAATTTAAAAGATCAAACTTTGACAGACCTCATATGTCTTTACTTCAAAGGATATCAGACAGCTAGCTCAATATAATAGCTTGAGGGATTGCTCACCAATGTGTTGGAGCCATCAGGATTTCTCTGATTCACCAGAAAGGTTTCCTGGAAAGTCTGTCTGGTCTCTTGTCTGAAGTCACAGCTCAAAATCAATGACTTGGAATATTCAGAGCAGGAAAATAAAAAAAAAAAAAAAAAAAACCTCATTGCCGTTAAGTCAATTTCAACCCATAGCCACCCCTCCTGCGGTTTCCAAGGCGGTATCTCTACAGAAGTAGATTGCCCAATCTTCCTTCTAAGGGGTGGCTGGTGGAAACCACCAGCCTTCTGGTTAACAGTCAAATAACTTAGGCACTATGCCACCTGAGCTCCTATTCAAAGCAGAGTGATGCTCAAGTAAGAGAAAAACTCTACTTTTTCATATTATTTCTCAGTATCATTCAGGTTACAGGGAACTTCAGGTAGGGCTTTATTTATGTTGAAAATTGGCACAGTTCTCCAAGTAAAAATTAAAAACATCCTAAACACCAAACCCAAACCAAACTCACTGCCATCGAGTTGGATCCAACTCATAGCGATCCCTCCTTGGGTTTTTGAAGCAGTATAACTATGGAAGTAGATTGCACAACCTAATGGCCTCAAAAGACACTTGGAATATGTGTTTGGTTTATTTTAAGAAAAGCAAAATTTAAAAGAAGTCTCACGATAATAAATATATATATAAACATCTATTATTTAAAGAAATAGCAACATAGACTATAGGCAAGTAGTATCCAGATTACAAATTTTTAACCCTCCATGTCTCCCTGGATCAGATTAATTGAGTTGAGTTGTGTATCAATTTAACCTGACCCTCTCTACTTATTCAGAAGAAATTTCATCATGCTGCCTCCTCTGCCCCATATTTCTCAGAATACCTGGCATGCTTTGTGTTCATCTTAAATACCTAAAAATTCATGTTCCCAAAGAAAATAAATGAGAGGTTATCAGTTCTAAATATACCTAAACCATTGCTGAAATCACGTTGTAGGTGTGAATATCTTACTCATTTAGGATGTGGGTCTCTGAAACTAACCATCTAGAATTCATTTATACATAACTGATAAAGACAGTTTTGTTATCCCTGAGAAAAACTAGCAGCTTCTAGAACTTTTCATATCTTCCCTTACCAGTCCTTGCTAAAAGACAGTCCTTCCATTTTGGTAATGATGCAAGGCAGGAAAAACCCGTATGACATTTACTTCTTAGCAAAGCCTGTCCCCTGCTTAAAATACACCTTTGTGTCTTTGTTTATGTAATCATTCATTCATTCATTCATCCATTCTGAGTTATCTTTTCTCTTGGATTCATGCCATGGACATTTCTTATGAGAATATTTAAAACAACGCTTTAATATAGTTATATGAAAACTAAAAAAGGAGGTGGGGGGTGCTTAAAGATTAACTTACTTTTCTCTTTCCCAGGGACATCCAGGGCAAGGTGGACCCAGAGGAAGACCTGGTTATGATGGCTGCAATGGAACGACGGGAGATGCAGGTCAACCAGGTCCCCCAGGCTCTGTAGGAAGTCCAGGATTCCCTGTGAGTATTACCATAGCATGTGTGGGTTAGTAAGTTCTGTTGTTAGCTGCCATCAAGTCCACCCCCAAATCATGGTGATCCCATGCACATTGGAACAAAATGCTGCCCAGACCTACGCCATTCCCATGATGGGTTGTGGATGAGTCAGATCATAGACTTTCACTGACCAATTTTCAGCAGTAGGTCACTGAGCCTTTCTTCCTGATCCATCTTAGTCTGGAAGCTCTGCTGAAACTTACTCAGCATCATAACAAGCTCACACTGACAGAAAGACGGTAGCTGCATTTGAGGTGCATTGGCCAAGAATTGATCCCAGGACTCCTACATGGGAGGCAAGAATTCTGTCACTGAACCACTACTGCCCCCTCCCCCCCCAATTAGTACTAGAACCTTGAATTGCTGGATACTTGTCAGTGGAAATGTGTAAAAGATACCAAATCCTGAGCTCTGTTTCCCAGGGCTGATGGGATTGATGGCTTCAGTTTAGCCCAGAAGACTGTCTATCATAGAACAGAGGACTCTTTGTAAAAGATTGTCTTATAGAAACTTTCTAAGATGAGCACATTGCCTTTTGTGTACTCAAGAGTGGGGGCAACCAGCCCATACCTTTTATAATGTGTGTGTGTAGCGGGGGGAGGCAACTTCCCTTCTCATTAGTTAGTGGTTGGGACAGACGGTAGCTCTCTGCTAATGTTTTCCTGCAAATATCAAGGCATGATTTTCCTAGATTCAAATAACTTAATTTTATATATCCATTCTTTAAATATTAGATGGAAAATAACTGGTTTGTGTTTATATTATTCACTCTACATTGTTGTAAGCTCTCAAGTCGATTCAGACTCACAGCAATCCTATAGGACAGAGTAGAACTGCCCATAGGGCTTCCGAGGCAATAATCTTTATGGAAACAGGTCACCAGGTCTTTTCTCCCATGAAGCAGCCAGTGGGTCCAAAATACTGACCTTTCAGTTAGCAGCCAAGGGCTTAACTATTGCACCACCAGGATTCTTTATTCACCTCGTACTTTCTCCAAAATGTCACTTCACCTTCTCCCATATTCTTCTTCAGTGAACAGTGAATACTACTATAATAGTAAAACTAAGATTAAAAAGTTTAAGCCTTAACAAAATTCTATATTAGTCATTATCTTTATTAAATTAAAAAATCTTTGTGACACAAAAGGTCAGTTATATTCTTCAGCATAAACAATCTGTGAGTTTATTTCATTTTTTTCAGTGAAAGAACCTTCATATAATAATCTTATCTGTGGCCTCATTTATTTTTTAGAATCTTAGCAAAGAGTCCTGGGATTTTTTTCCGTAGTGTATTGTTACCCTCTCACCACCAAAATCTTGCAAATTCATGTGTTATACTAAAATTTTATTTGGTGAGATATCTTATTTTTTAAAAATAACACACATTTTCATGTGGGGGAAAGGACTCCTTCACCCCACTGCCATCCGAAAGCAAATGGTGTTTTATCCTACTTTCTCTCACCTTTCCAGTTCCCCTTTTATCTCTTTCTTTTTTATGTGGTTTACTTTTCCAATAAACAGCATCATTTTCTGTTCCAATACCATAATGTTACTATCAATAAATACACCTGTAACTTTATATATACAAACACATAAAAGATATTTACGTGTATACATATATATATCCACACATATAGTATAAGCTTCACACAATTCAGATTTTAAAGAATAACCCAGAATCTCTTCCACAAAAAGTGTTTAATAATATACGCATTTCTTATTTGTTAGGACCAGTATGCCAAAGAAAGCACATAAAATATTACAAGAAAAATAACATATTGGTAGACTAGAGGATGAATTTACTGAGGGCTCATTTGTGTTCATAAAAGTAATTTAAATCCCATAAAGAATTTCTATTTTTAACTTTGATTAAAAGATACTGTTGGTAAATACGAAGTTTAAAGCCTCATCCTTGTGGTTGAATATAGTAATTGGTGTTCAGAATAATCTAAATAAGCCATAAAAACAAATAGACATAGTCTATAAAACTCAATATTCAATCATGCAGATTATTATAGCTGCATTAAAGATTAATGAACCTTTTGTGTTTTGTGTGTTTTTTGTTTTGTTTTGCTTTATTTTATTATGTTGCTTTTCTAGGGACCTCAAGGACCCAAAGGACAGAAAGGTGAACCTTACGCATTACCCAAAGAAGAGCGGGACAAATACAGGGTAAGTTTGCTAGAGATAGGAAGTGTAAACTTTTAGACTAATAAAGTTAACTATTAAGTGAATACCAAGTTGCAAGAATGAAAGCAATGGAAGACTACACTACTACAGAATGGTAGAATAATTAATTTTAAAATTATTTTATATCTATCAAGAATATTTTTAATCTTATACTTGATTGTGAGTGTGCATCTTTCCCATATTCATAATACTCCAAGAAAAATACTGAGATCACTAAAGTCACAAAGTCCTGACTTAGAAGGAGATAAGAAAACTCCATCTCATCTTCTTCCTGCTTGTCCCTTCTCATCTCCACAACCTTTACTTCTGAGAAAAGTGCAAAGCTGTCCCTCACAAATGAATATGTTTTGCCTTTCCACTCAGTGTTTCCTAGGTAGGATGGAAGAGGAGAAAACAAATCATTTAATAGTAGAATTTAAAACTTAATGACTGAAATGTCCTACACAATATATACTAATCAATGACTTGTTCTAAACTGCCTCACTAATTTCTGCTAACCCTTCTTGTTGATATGTCAGTTAATTAAGATTAATTAAAATAGCCAGATTCAAAGACTAAAACAACACTGTCAAATTTCTATTAATAGTTAAATTTCTTGCAGTGACTTATAATGGCACTCATTATTTAAATATACTTTAATAATTTAACGGAGCTCTGGTTTGGAACTAAGATGGTGATAAATATGGCATTTAGGGAAATTTTTTGTCTTAAGAGATTGTACTGAATTAAAAAGGTCAGATTAAATGATGAGAGACACAGTTTCTCTAATCCCATCTCAGCCACAGCCTTGCTGGATTGGCTTGCTAAAATCCTTTTCACCACTGTGGACTCAGTTTCCTCGCCTATAAAAATGTAGACATTGATCAGATGATTTGTCAAATTCCATTCAGCTCTGCAGCTCTATGATCTACATGTCTGTCATCTATTTGGATCTCCACTGGGGGCAAGGAGGAGCTCATTGGCCAATGCAGCGAAAATGGTGGTCAATAGAAAAAGTGTGCTTATTTCTTGAGGACATGTTTGCTACACAGTAATTTTATAGAAGCTTATATTTTAATGCATTTAAGAAATATATGTTATCTTTATTTAAATAAGGATTCTCTCAAGAATTTAAGCAATATCTTATTGACCAAGGTTTAAGTTTGAGTACTTCCAAATTAAGCATCTTCAAAGGATATTATTTAGTAGTTATAAATTGCCTTGATCCTTCTAAAATATTTTCTAGTTCATATTTCTGATTGTGCATCTTCCACTTCTACTGTGGTTATGCTTAGTACCTTTGATTTGTAGGTCACATTTATACATGTGGAAGGAAGTCTAGATGTACAGTGAATCTCATATAGACCAGCTCTTCCTATACTGAATGTTTTATCTCCCTAAATTTCAAAGTATTTTTCAGAGTGCCACTTTTGCTACTCAATATCATTTAGACCCTAATACCCTTGCTTCAATTTTCTAGTTTTTATTGTTTTCTAAAATTAAAATTTGAAGTTAATGATCATTAAGAAACTCACATGGATTATTCTTTTTTAAATGTATATATGTTTAAAATTCTACCATATTTTTAATGCATATGTTAAAAACATGCCTTAGTCACTAATCTATCTTAATAGGTACATTAAAAGTATGTGTATGTACATTTATACACATTCAAAATCCATAAACTATAAAAGTGTTACAGAAACCTCTCTTGTGTAGCAAATAGTCAACATGTGGGAATTAAAAAAAACAGAGTGAAAGAGACAAGGTTGATATAATTTATGTGCTTATAGCTAATGTAGCAGTAAAATGTAACTAAATCTAAATCTGCTTTAAACTGTAACTCTTAAAATTATTTCTTCTTCAATTAGGGTGAACCAGGAGAGCCCGGGTTGGTTGGTCTCCAGGTAAGTTTCATTTTTATTAAAGAGTATCCTAAGCAAAACCTTAAGAACTACAAGACCCCAAATACCACTTTGCCTCTCCTAATAACAATCTCTTGTTGTATGTCTACAGGGGCCTCCAGGCCGCCCTGGCTATGTGGGACCAATGGGTCCAGTTGGTGCTCCAGGGAGACCAGTAAGTAATTGGATGCAGCAGGCTCAAGTGGACCCTTATTAGGTCACTCATACAGATGCAACTTCTTCATGTTAAGATGGAGGCAAAAGTTTTACAATGAAGCTATGCTACTTGTAGTCAGTATAGAAAATATCAAGGCAAATGCTTCATTCTTTGCATGCATTTTACTGTTATTAATATTGAAGAATAAGGAGTCAGAATTTATGGCCACCAGATCAGGGCCAACCATCTCAAATTTTGACTTGGTACTAGCTGAATGCCCTTCCAGTCATGTACAAGACCTCCTGCCCCACTCTTATCCACTTGATGAGGGCTTGTCATTCCTGGGCAAATCCCACCAAACCCAACATGTTGATAAGGAGAAAATAAGCTGTTTTGTATCATACCTAGGCAGTAGCAGTTATAAAAAGTGAGACATTGGACATCAATTCCTGAAGAGTCCCTCGTATCCCACCTGAGTGTTGGTCTGCATTTTTCCCTCCCCTGCAGACCAAGTGAAAGAGTGAGGTATGACAGGACATAATACTTGAATAAAGGAGGAGTAGCTGCAAGGAGGAAAGAAGAGAAGAAGGGAGAATTACTGATGCCTGTGTGGCCCTCACACCACTTGCAAGACTGTACACATGACCTAAAAGATGAACTGGATACTGTGAGGAGTTTTCTGACGCTCTTATTCCCCAAATATTCTAGTAGTAAGAGAAATCGGTGTTAAGTTACACAGGGAAAGATTTCAGCTAAATAAGAGAAAGACTTCATCACAGAAAACCATTGTTCAAGATTGAGAAAAGTTATCAAATGATGCTTGATATTGACAGATACTCAGAAACAGTGAAGATATACGTGTTCAGGGAGAATTCAGCCATACTGGTACAGGCATATCTGTACTAGTATTTATCGTACTTTGCTTTGTTGTGCTTCGCACATAGTGCGTTTTTACAAATAGAAGGTTTGTGACAGTCCTGCATCAGTCAAGTCTGTTGGGCACCATCTTTCCAACAGTGTGTGCTCACTTCAAACTTTTTCATAATGCTATTGCTCATTTAAAAGACTGCAGTATAGTATGAACATAACTTTTGTATGCCATGAGAAACCAAAATATTCGTGTGACTCACTTTATTGTGATAGTCACTTTATTGTGGTGGTCTGGAAGAAACCCATAGTATCTCTGAGATATGCCTATAATTAGGGTGGGGATACTCATAAATTTCCTTCAGACTATAATAATAGTAAAGTTCTGTGGGTTGTTTTTTTTTTAAAAAATAAGTTTCCCCTGATGCCATGAAAGTTATTTTTGTAGGTATCTTTCTAGCTATGAAAGGTTGGCTAAGTGGACTGAAATAAGGATCATATCATGCAAAATTTTTCCTCACCTAGGCTTTGTTACATACATATGTTGCCTGCTTTTGTTATGCTTTAAACACACAGAACTCTAAAAGATTGTACCCTTGAACTGAGCTGCAAACCTCAAGTTCTTCATTAAAATAGCCCACATTCCCCAGCCTGTCCACTTCTTTGCATCTTCTTTTTTTCTACTTAAAAACTATTTTCTCTTCTAATGCATTTCAAATACTTTTATCCTAAGCATGGTGTTGGCACTGAATGCTTTGCAGAAATGTGCTGATGACTCTCACCCTTGCAGTACTGGCCTCTAGGATTAATTCTGTCAGTGAGCATTTGTTGAACTGCTACCAAAAAGTGCTAGACAATGTCCTGTGGGGAATCCCAGAGGAAGACAGGAGAAACAGCCTCTGCAGTCACAGGGCCTGGGACCTATGCAGAGATCAGAACAAACACAAAGAGGACATGAGTGAAGTCAAAAGCCTAAACACAAAAAAGCAAACCAGAAACAGCTGTATATAGACGGCCAGCAAATTCTGAGAACTGTGATCTCAGTCCTTCCTACCATACAGCTTTTCATCCCTACAGAAACAAATGAGTTCTAAACCTCCATGAGCACTACATGATGTTTTAAATATACAGTAAAAGGCTTTCCCAGACTTTTCTAGCAGATGTTATCTGGGTCCTTGGCTAAAGAAAACAATTTACAAATTTCTTTGTATTTGTGCAGGGACCACCCGGACCCCCTGGACCAAAAGGACAGCCAGTAAGTTGATTTTGGAAGGACGAGCAAAAGGGAAGAGGGATTTATGTATTTGTGTGATGTATGTGTGTGTGTGTGTGTGTTACTGTAGAACTAATTGTTTGACAAATATTTATTATTAATTTTAAGCTAAGAACTATCTTGTAGATTTTTCCAACTTAATGTTAAATTACAAGTATAAATTCAATTGGATACCTAGAGCACCTACCACGTAAGTGTTCAATGTGTTGAAAGATTTGTTGCGTACAAATCACTTGTAACATTCCTGTTATATAAAAAATCAAACTGATGTATTTATTTAAAAATGTAGATTAGAACAATTGGGGCACTGCTAATATTTATCCAGGAGTCAAGTACCTGAGGCACTTGACTGCTAACCAGAAGGCTGGCAGTTTAACCCGCCAGCCACTACTCAGAAGGAAGGTTGGGCGATCTACTTCGGTAGAGATATCGTCTCGGAAACCCAAGGAGGGGTCGCTATGAGTCGCGTCCGACTCACTAACCGCTAACTGAAAGGTCAGTATTTTGGACCCACTGGCTGCTCCACAGGAGAAACACCCTGGCAATCTGCTCCTATAAAGATTACAGCCTCAGAAGCCCTATGAGGCTGCTGTCTTCTGTCCTATAGTGTGGCTGTGAGTCAGAATCAACTCGAGGGCACACAACAACAATATTTACCCATATATGTTAAATTATGAGAATGGAAAAATAGCAGCTATATCGTTATAGAGAGGCCAATGAACTTCTACTTACCTGGATATAATTAGGTTCTATAGCAATCTAATGTCAGCCTCTAGGGGCATATGCAATGATATTTTAGTCAAGCTAAAGCCCTAAGCTACTTTATTTTCATCAAAGAAAGATTATTATGTTCGTTGGAGCACAACAAGGTAGTTGGCTGTTAAGAACCTGGAGAACAGAACTAAGGTTCGTTATGACCTGGGAAAGTTGCATGAATGTCCAAAGCAAGCAAAATGAAGTTGCCTAGGGAAGTATTCAATCAAAACTCGACATGAGTCAGAAATACTGGGCTACTGTTACTAAACTTTCAAGAACCATTCCCTTACTGGGCATCCAAATGGAAGATGTTTCCAAACCAGTGCATTTAAAATGTCTGCTCTTAAATCATAAAATAGGTCAGACTTACTGGTCTGATCGAGACTAATACAAAGCCCTGAGACTATGGCCCCTAGTCACCCTTCAGGCCTGGAACTGAACTCACTCCTGAAAGAAGGAAATAATAAAATGCCTGCTCTGTGCGAAAACTTTTTTCTATGACCTGGTAACCACTGCGGCCACCCGTTGCCCCCAAACTCCCATCACTTCTGACATGGCTTCCGGCCTGAACTAGAGCTTATTAAGACTGCTGCCTCCCTGCTTGACTCCCCACTGTCCAGCAGCCTTGAGCAGGATGGGAAAGGACAAGAGCCAAGAGAAGCGGATGCAGGACAGGGCAGCCGGGGCCAAGGAAGCAGCAGCCAAGCTCCAAGCTCAGGCGAGAGCCTCAGATCTCCACTTGCCACTGCATATACAAACAGCCCTCCTCACCTCCTGACCAAGTCATTTCCTGGGGACTTTGACAACCAGCTCAAGAGGCAGAAAATGACCGCAGGGGAGTAAAACAAATTGCATTCTCCTCTAGCCTGGCTTATTTTCTGTGCTTTGATTTCAGCTCCCAGCCAGGTGGGAAAGAAGGGAAAAGTAAAAATTAATTAAAGGCTTTGTTTTCATTTCCAGAGACTATCTGGGCATTTGCAGGGGTAGGGGGGCAGGCGGTGTACCATAGAAAGAAAGATCAGCTGAGTCCCTGTATGATTTTTTGTCACTGTGGGAATATGGAAACCCTGGAGAAGAAGCAAAGTTGTTTGAGAGTAAAAGAAAAGAGTACTGTTGCTATACTGTGCATTTGGAGTATAGCATTTCATATGTACCTAGTTTATACATCAGAGTTAAGTCAATTTACCTATTTGTAGCAATTCCATTTAGAAAACTACTATATTTGCTAAGCAACCAGGCTGAAGCTTTGCTTCTTAAGCTAAACGGAGTATGAGATAGTTGGATAAAACCCACAGAATGACCCCTACCCTGAAAACATCAAAAGGATGAAAAATTTTTATGTGAAATTAAGATTATTATACCAAAATGAGAAAAGGCTGAAACAGAAAAAGAGAAGATGAATAATGATCTTCAAATATGGTTTCCAGGGAATAAAAATGGGCAGCTTTCTAAGTCTTTCTAAGTCTCCAGGAGCCAGAACCTCTTAGGTTACAGCATGTAAAGACAATAGACTAATAATTAAGAGTTAGAAATATCTGAGCTCAGAACCACACTCTACCAACTAGCTGTGAGACATTGGTCAGATGACTTGACTTTTCAGAATTTTACCATGTGTGAGATAGATGAAGCTCCGAGTTTGGTACAGGTTATTAAAAAAGACTGAAGCATTTAGCACAGACTCTGGACTTAGAAGTGCTCAATGAAATAACAGTGGAGTAAGTTCTCTGAAGAGTGAAATATATTTCAAAAGCAGACTGTAAAATATCCCCAGGAGTAACAGTATAACTGCTATTTTCTCACTGTCTTTGCAGTTTTGCTTACAGTATAAACTACTTGACTTCTTAAAAGTGCATCAAAGTGAGGATTCTTCACTAAAAGAATAAAAAAATAGTTGTTGTCAAGTCAATTCCAATTCATGATGACTCACGTGTCGGGGTAAAACTGTGCTCTGTAAGGTTTTCAATGGCTGACTCTTGAGAAGTCGATCTCTAAGCCTTTCTTCCAAAGCATCTGTGCATGGAATTGAACCTCCAGCCTTTTCATTAGCAGCCAAGCATGTTAACTGTTTGCACCCCAAGGACTCCATTAAAAAGAAATAGCCATTTCTCTGAACCCCCTACTTTTAGTCGTATAGGTATAATCTTAGCAGATGCTGAGAATATACTGAGTGTCACTTTCTGCAGGTGATACATAATCTCAGTTTGTGCCTGTCCATATTATGTTATATCAGGCTCAAACTTTCACTATATAGTTTACATACAGAAATAGCAGATAAAAATAATAACATTTTTTGGCAACTGGTTTCTAGGAGGTGAAACCAGAATATTATGCAAGAATAGTGGTCCAGTAATGTTGCAGATAGATAGGTCTTGGGTTTCTTCTTCTGAAAAAAAATTCATTTCCCTGTGACCCGGTGGCACTGTGGTTAAGCACTTGGCTGCTAAACAGAAGGTGGGTGATTTGAACTGACCAGTTGTTCTCTGTGAGAAAAATGTGGCAGTGTGCTTCCATAAGGATTTATAGCCTTGAAAACCCTGTGGGGAAGTTCTGATATGCCTTATAGGGTCTCTGGGAATTGGAATCAACTCAACGGCAGTAGGTTTGTTTTATATTTGGTGTTTTGTTTTGTTTTTAGTATGGACTTTTGAAAATGTACAAGTCTTTGCTTCTGTTTGAAATGTTTTATAATACATTTTTGAAACTGGAAAAAAAAAGAGAAAAAAAAATACTTACAAAATCTATTTATCTTTTCAGGGCAACAGAGGACTTGGTTTTTATGGAGAAAAGGGTGAAAAGGTAAAGTCAACTTAATAGATTAAAGCTGAGGAATGCAGTGTTTAACAATTAGAAAATAATTACTAAATTTTATATTGTTACCTCAAGGAAATATGCAAACAGAAATTTACATACAAACAAAATCATTGTAAAGTGCCAAGTTATAATCCATGCTCCACTGATCATTATGGGTCAATAAGACAATGAAAATGAACCAGGTACTTGTACACCCACATTCATTGCAGCACTATTCACAATAGCCAAAAGGTGGAAACAACTGATGTGTCCATTACAAGATGAATCAATAAACAAAATGTTGCACATACATTTAGTGCAATATTACAATGCAATGCAAAAGTTATTACATGCAATGTAGCCAGGAAAAGAAATGAAATTCTGATATATGCTACAGTATGGATAAACCATGAAAACATTAGGCTAAGTCAAATAAGCCAGGTACAAAATACAGATATGGTATGATTCCACTTCTATGAAGTATTTAGAATAGGCAAGTGAATAGAGACAAAAGTTTATTGATGGTTCAAAGGTAACCTAATAAGTGAAAGGTGAGGTCTACCATGTTTAACAATTAGAAAATAAGTTTACAGGTGAGAAAAAATGGAGAGTTGTTGCTAAAGAGGTACTGAGCTTCCGTTTGGGTGACGAAAAACTTGGAAAGAGGTAGCAAAGATATTTGCACAACATGGTGAATGTAATTAATGTCACTGAAATTATATACTCAAAAAATGTTTAAAATGCCAATTTTTTGTGATAATATATTTTACCACAATAAAATTTTTTTACAAAAAAATAAATCATCTAGGTTCACAATAGAGCTCTAACAAAGAGACACAACAGAGATATAACAATGGGGTGGGAGTGAGGCAGGCAGGGGAGGGCAGGCACTCCAAGATGAGGCTGGTCCAGTGACTCACCACACACACACACACACACACACACACACACACTGTCCACGAGGCTGGTGGTGATGGGCAGAGTGGGGGCAGCAGTGGTACAAGCTTTAGTGATTGCCCCTAGGATTACCTTCACTAAGTCTCTGAGACACAGCTCCAGCCAATCTGTAGCACATAAAGAATAAAGAATCGAGGATGCCTTCTAATCATGTGGAACTCATAAGTGATTGAAAGAGACTGAAATAAGGATCAAAGATAAACTTAGAGCCATCTCAGGAATAATTAATATAGCCATGTCTGTCAGGCTCAAAGGCAGGAAAAAAGATTATGTGAACTTTATAAGTCTTCACAGCCCTAAGATTCAAAGACCTCATGGCTATTGAAAGGACTGCATGAGAGAATGTGTAAAAGACTCACTATGGTCCCCAGCATAGAGTATATCATAGCTATTAAAAATAAATAAATAGAAAATACCCTCACCAACATAAAATCCCATTTCATTCACCAAGCAATCCATTTACTCCCAATAAAATACACTTGTTCCTTTGACCTCATTATTTGAACATTTTTATTTTGTTTTTTATTGACTAGCACACCTAAATAAAAGCTGCTAAAATGGAAGCAAGTACCATTCAGGTGTGAAGAGGAAATATTTTGTTCTAAATACCACAGAAGAAATCACAAAATAGAAAAATTGAAATGTTCAAATATTAAAAAAATGTAAACTTCCATAAAATGAAATACAACAACATAGAATGAAAAGAAGAAAAACCTTGGAAGAAATTATTGGGAAGAGGGATGAGTAGTCACACTAGGTACTGTGGAAAGTGTCTAATCTACAAAGACTTTATTCAAATTATTAATAAAATCATCAAGACCCCAATAGATAAATGGGAGAAGAGCAAACCATTCATATAAGAAATGATGAAACAGACAAGTATTTCTTACTAATGATAAAAATGCATATTAAAGCACTCTTAAAATATTATTAAAGAAGCTGCTTTTTATTATATGAAACACTCTTAACAGGTGAGGTTGTCCTCACCTGGACTCACCAGGACTGGGGTAGTCCTTTATTTCTTATGCAGTGTACCTTGGTACCAACATTGGAAATCAGTAGAGTAGTACATATCAAGGTACATAAAAGGCACTTGACTGCTAACCAGGAAGCTGATGGTTCAAACCCACCAGCCACTCCTCGGAAGGAAGGTTGGGTAATCTACTTCCTTAGTGATACTGCCTCGGAAACCCAAAGAGGGGTCACTATGAGTCGGATTCGACTTGACGGCACATAACAACAACAACAAAGACACTTAGCCTTCTGACCCATTGTAAGTAGATATTTCCTCAGAAGCAAATACAGCCCAAAATTGCAAACAACCTACAAGTTCTATAGCAGAGAAATAATGTTCTCTTACGCATTCATTCTAAAGACTAATACGAGTAGGATTCAAATAATTCTGATGATTATTACTCTACAAAATAAGTATATGTGTGATATATAATATGCAGAAATAAAAATAACAGTATTGTGGTGGGATAATGCTTTTGTTCAAACTTTATAGTTCCTTTTCAATTTAAAGATGAATGCTTTTGCTAAACAATGCATAGGGTGACATAGGACTGCCAGGACCCAATGGAATTCCATCAGACAATGATTGTGCCAGCACCGGACCTGGGAAAGACGTGATTCATCCAGAACAGTATAAGGTAAAGGGGTGTCAGAAAAATTGACTATATTCCCAGCTGAACCAAAAAAAAAAAGAAGAAAAAAGGTAACTTTCTTCAGTTTCATTCAAAAGTCACATTGCAAGCGGGAAAGGCATTCCATTAGAGAGCCTAGCCACAAACTTGGCAAATATGCACACTGGGCCCTCAGGGATGTTCTTGATGATTCCAGACATTCATTAGACTTACAATCAAATAGTTTCTTCAGTCTGTCATCTTAAACAATTGTTAGGCGTTTAAAACAACAGTAGAACTAAAATAATCTCAAATCAATTTTTAAATATGTTTCTCCAATTGAAATATAAATTAAGGATCACAGTATTACTCAAAGCGAGAATCATGGAAAATTTTGAGTGAAATGTCTTAGGCAAAATAAAATCTACTTCCTTTCTTTGCTGACAAGAAGCAACTTGTTTCTTTTTTCCCAGCACATTTTTTTTTCCATCAAAGTCAGTTTTCTAACTCTTTCTATAATTTCTGTTACTCTTATATTGAGTTAAAAAATGTACTCTTGGAGTGTAAAACAAAAATAAACATCCTGAATTCCAGCCTTTTGTAATATGTACAACTGTCAAGCGAAAGTAAGGAGATTTTCTTTGAAGCAATTCATATTCAGTCAAGCAGCAGCCGTGGAGGTTGGGATTCAGAATATCAGCTTGGACAGGCAGACCTGGGCTGGAATCCCAGCTCTACCAACGTATTCTGTGTCCTTAGGCAGGTCACTTAATTGTTCTAAGACTCATTTTGCTTTATGTCAGTATTGACCTCATAGAGCTGTTGAGCAGATTACAGGAGACAATATGTGTAAAACACTCAAGATAGTGCCCAGCACATTCAATAGATAGGAACTAAAAAAAAAAAAAAAAAAAAAAAAAAAAAAAAAACCAGTTTTTTTTTTTTTCTTTTTAATAGACTTCATTTCCACCTCAGCTGTATCGATTAAGATGGAGTGTGAGTGCTCGTCAGGATGGGAGAGGGAAGGTCACACTTAGTGTGGTGAAGGCAAGCAGGTCAGGTCCACAGCATTTAGAGAGGAAACCCATCCAGGCAGCTGTGACCTGAGTTATCAGAAGCAATTGGTAAAAGTGGCATGGGAGATAACTGATGTCAGGCCCAAGGGCCAGAGTAAAATGTGTCCAGAGACAGGTAATTGTGTACCTGGTGAATATTAGGGCAGGATGCCCAACATCTGGACAATGGCAATAGGAGCAACCAAGGCAGGTAAGGCATGGTACCAGTGCCATTAGTAAGTAGTCAGGTGGAAGTGGGAGCAGGACTTCAACTCCAAGTGGTTACCTGACCCTCAGACTATCAGCCAGGTGGAGCTTCTGTGCACTTTAAGAACAGGAGCCTGAGGATGGAGCAGGGCAGAAGCAGGTTGGATTGATGCTGAGGTATCTAATCACCTCAATCAAATTTATTTCCTTTTCTGCAACCAAGGTGAGGATTGGTTCCAGGGCTCAGACAAGACTGAGCCTGTAGGGGGCAATCTTGTGCTGTAGGAGTCCAGAATGCTGTTCTAGGAGTAGTGGGAACAAAGGACCAAACAGATCACCACGTTTCTTTCAACCTTTTATACCAAGAGACGTGAAAAAAATAAATTGTATAGAACTGATGTTGGTTTCTAAAGCCACTTTTGCTTGAGGTTTTAATGAGTCCCAAGTGTTTCTTTTCCTTAGAGTACCTTTCTAATAATGTTTTATTCAAGATAATATAATTAGGGCTTTTCCCCTGGGCCTGTATTCCCACTATAAGAATGTCAATATATGCTTGTAACTGTGGAATTCATACTGAACAGATTGAAGAGTAGACAGGATTTCAATGGTATAAAAAATAATACATGATTTAATTTATATTATGAAAATCCAGAAGAACAAAAAGATACATTTTTTTCTTTGAGTTTTGAAGCTGCAAAATTTAGGAGTTATTTGTTACAATTACTTTATAAGGATTGTTAAAAGTTTTATTAAATACATCTCACCTCATGACATAAAACTCTGATAGAATTTAAATGTTATTATTATGAAATTCATCTTCTTATCTTCACAGGGTGACAAAGGAAGTATGGGGGAACCAGGAAGAAAAGTAAGTTAACTAACAATATTTCTTATCACTTATGTTTCCTAAATTCTCAGTGTTTTTATTGGAATGATAGAATATTTTGTGTCTTAATGACCCATAGACTTTCGGTTTCTCATCCATTTGTCTACAGCAGTTATTTATTTTCACACTTTTTTTTCCCCCCAGAAAACAATTTTATAATTTTTGCTTAACAAATATTGGCTAATCATTATCATCAGTAGTCAGGTTGGGTCCCAGAGCAGGACTCTGAGTTCTAATGGTTACCAGAGCATCAGCCAGGTGGGGCATCTGTGCTCAAAGTTTATCAAATGAACTTAAAACTCTTTAAGAGGAGAGAGAGGGAGAAAGAGAGGAAGGATTTGAGAGTAGAGAGAGTGTGGAGGGCTAGGAAGGTTTTATGGTCTGGTTTCTATTCTGGGACTCTAGCTCACTGTACCTCTCTCTTTTGTTTTTCATTATGGTAAAAATACAGGCAACACAACAGTTGATTTGTGCTGTCCTCACTCCTGTGCCCAGTTCACCTACATCATCACTTACTAAATGATAATCTAAGTACATTTATAGTTTCTCTATGCATCCTGCCATTAGACTGTGCTAGGATATGCTATCACAAGAAGTTGTCTGGTCACAGCCAGGGTATTAAGTAAATTAAAATCTGAAGCAATGTGATGTGATGTCCTCTTTTTCCTTTCCTAGGGCATTTCCTTTAAGGGAGAAGAAGGAATCATGGGCTTTCCAGGAATAAGGGTAAACCATATATAAATATAACTGTGTATCTCCAAGACCACAAAAATGTTTCTGCCTGTATTAGTTCAGCTAGATCAGGCTGTCGTGACACACGACACACAGGTGGTGGTTCAGTAGCAGCATTCCTGCCTTCCATGCAAGAGGAAGGAGAACCATATTCGATTCCTGAACAGTGCACCTCAGGTGCAGCCACCATCATCCGTCAGTCTGTCAGTGGAGGTCCTGTGTTGCTATCATGCCAAACAGGTTTCAACGGAGATTCAGGCTAAGATGCTTGAAAAACATACGGCTCACAACAGTCTGATCCACAACTGATTGCACTGTGTGTGGAGTCACCATGAGTTAAGAATACCAAGCATGTACAAAGGCTAGAACACCAAAAGCTTATTTCTTATTACTCTGAGTCCCACAGAAATGTCCCTAGTGGTGGAGGAAGAGGGTCTCTTTCTATGATAATGCAGCTGCCTTGTGCCTCTGCATGCCAGCAAGGCACACCTGCTTCATAGAAGTCTTGCCCTGAAATGAAACATACCTCTTCTGTTCTGGTTCCATTGGGCCAGACTCAGTCACATGGCAAAACCTAATAGCAGAGGAAGTTAGGAAATGCAGTCATAGCCATGGGCCCGGGAAGAAGAGAAAATGATGGATATCTAGTAGTAACTGCCACTAAAAAGATATACTTTACAGTCCCCGAAATCCAGAAGAGAGAAACTGGTTAGATTATTGGAGTACAGGCCTTTTTATATTTTTGCCATTTTTTAAACTTATTTCTCCATAGTTCTTTAAGTGTTAGAAATGAGGTATAAATGTATTACTAAAATTATTTCTCTCCTTTGGAAAATAAAAAGAGGTCTCCTGGTGTTTTGCTAGCTTTCATAGTATATGTAGCTTTGCTATTATAATGGATTTTGCATCCTTTATACCTTTTCATCATAGCTGCATATTCTTGAGCTCCCCTTTCAAAATGGAAAATGAATGAATTTGGTAGCTTGTTACTATTCTTCCAAATCTGACCCCAAGAATTGTTTGTCCACATTTTAATCAATGTCGAGTGCCATAATAATGCCCTCTGGAAAATTTTGCTGTGTATTGTGAGTTGCTATTGCTTCTTTTCTCTGTTCACTCCAGGGTTCTTCTGGCTTCGATGGTGAAAAAGGATTACCTGGACAGAAAGTAAGTTTGATGCATAAAGTGCAGTCTGATTGAACTATCTTATTAAAGCTGTGGTATCTCGAAAAAAGAAGAGTTCTGGTGGCACAGTGGCTAAAGCATTTTGGCTGCTAACCAAAAGGTTGGTTAGCAACCACCAACCGCTCCATGGGAGAAAGATGAAATAGTCTCCTTCCATGAAGATGTACAGCCTTAGAAACCCTACAGAGCAGTCCTACTCTGCCGTATGGGGTTACTATGAGTGGGAATTGACTTGATGGCAGTGGGTTTGGTTTTGGTTTTATCTCAGAAAAAAATAGTTGCTTCAGGTAAATGCATTCAAAACTTGCCCAGCATTTACAGTAGTATAAATAATCCTTCCTCCCAGATCATTCACAATACTGCATTCAGATTATGTACTTTTTTTTCTCATTTTTGCAAATCAGTCTTCTTACTCCTTCCATCTCTCTCTCTCAAGGCTTCCCATCATTCAGCCCCTACCAACCATGCCTTTTGTTCCTTCCAATCTCACACTTTCTTCTCTGTGCCATTGTTTGTCACTCATAGGAATGTGGTCAACTTGCTGAGCAAGGGCCCCTCATACATTTTATATATATATATATATATATATATATATATATAGACTTCATGTATTTTGACAGTTGTTTATATTCAGTAATGACCCAATTAATTACTCTTACCTTGTGTCTACAAACATATTTTTGACTATTATTTTTAGAAGAAAATGTTATGTGAGAAAGGTATTAAAAATCTGGATCTAGGTTATACCACCATAGATGAACAGAGAGGACATGCAGAAATCGGTTTCAAATAATTCATTTATTCTTACTATTCGTTATTATCACTAATTCAGTCATAAAATGCATAGCTTAGCTCCTTCCCATTGTAGACCCTCATCATCCTCCCCAGAATCAACTACTGTGAATAGTTCCTTAGGTATCACTTCACTTAAGTGCTAACATGTAACAGTCACATATATTTTCATATGCATGTAATTAACAAAAGCATAAACATACACATATTATTCTGCTACATGGGTTCCACCCCACAACCCATTCCTTGAAGATTGTTCTCCTTTAGCACTTAACAGATCTACCTCATTCTTTTAGAGATCTGCATAGAATTGCACTAAACAGATATACCATATTTGTTTAATGATTGTCGTTATGTACACTAGAAACTAGAAACTCATTGGTTTCTAGTTGCTTGCTATTTTAAACAATAGCATCATGGTACATGCATCTTGGTGCCCATGGGCTAGAGTTTTCATAATTAAGTCCTAGCAAGTACATACATACAAAAGATTTACCACCACCACCCCCAAAAAAAATCAGTGCAGCCTCAGAATCACAGCTCCCTTGAAACCTCCTATGGTTCCATTGCAGGATGGTAGCATAATATCTGGAGAATCATAAAGACTTGGTTAGCAAGCACTGCACATTCACCAGTCCCCTCCTGGAAAGTTCTGCCATGTTTGTTCCCTGATTGTAGATTAACTTGGCCTCCTAGATTTAATTTCTGACTTCCACAGGCTCTTGGCTCAGGCTGTATTGACCCAGTGCCCTGGTTTTGACCACTTACAGTAGCACCAATCTTGATTACTTGTTGCATCCTTTACTGATTCTATTCTTCCCAATCCTGTCCTTTCATGGGTATCGGGCCAGGGCCTTAATACCAGGCTGTGCTCTAGTACCACCCAGCTTTTCATATCATTCCTTACTAAGAGGAGATATCCCAAAAGTTAGCATAATAAAGGATAGTATATGTGCTGCATCTCAACCAAAGGCAAAAAAGGCCAAATTCTAATTTAAATATTACAATAAGCAAATGTCCTAAAAAGACAAAGGACTAAAGCAATCATTTGCATTTAAAAGCATATAATTAAAGTGCACCTCTGAATATTTTCATTTCTTACTATTTACTAGTAAAATCATAATTATTATTAGTTTCCTTTTTTTTTTTTTTTGACACCTAACACAAAGGAATTGTATTATTTTTTTAAATGCAGTTCAACACAACTGCCACCTAGAACTCAGAAGCTAATGAAAGACAACAAGATGCTCAGTGAGCACTGACCATCTGGTACCTTTGACTGTTGTGGTCTAGATGTTACGATGCAAGGCTAACTTCTGCAGCTGCCTTAAAACAAGAAGATACAGATCATTTCTGTTAAGCAGGACAGCACAGTTGCCAACGAGAAGTAGTTTACTTGACTATAAAAATAGGAAATAGACAGGACATACACAAATGACTCAGCCATCCTACTTGTTAGTACTAAACTATACTACCGTCATGTCTGTTTTTATATTATCTTACTTGCCAAGTTGCTATTACCCACACTGATGGTTGAGTTGTATGCATAAACTTTGGTTTTATAGTATAAAATGGAACCAGAAACCAAATGCCACTTCAAGGAGCAACTGTAAATAGTAATGCGAATGATGTGTTTCACTTGGATGGAACGAAAAAGAAAATATATTCTGAAAAAAAGTTTGCCTGCCTTTATATGCACACACAATCAGTTACACTTGGTTCCTACTGATTATAATAGAGATTCTGTTCACTCTAACCTTTTCTAAAAACTCACTGCCGTCAAGTCGATTGTGACTCATAGTGACCCCTCCTCGGTTTCCGAGGCAGCATCTCTGTGGAAGTAGATTGCCCAACCTTCCTTCCAAGGAGTGGCTGGTGGGTTTGAACCGCCAGCCTTCTGGTTAGCAGTCAAATGCCTTAGGCACTATGCCACCAGTCTTTTATAGATTTGGTTATTTTAAGTTTCCTGAAAAATTAAAGATTATTTTCACATCCTTTTCTAGGGGAAGCATATTTTCAGTAACTGAGCAAAAGTTTGGCAGAGCTATTGTTGTTGTTATGTGCCATTGAGTCGGACCCGACTCACAGCAGCTCCTCCTTGGGTTTCCGAGGCAGTATCACTATGGAAGTAGATTGCCCCATCTTCCTTCTGAGCTAGTAGTTACTATATTGTGTTAAAAAAAACAAAGATGACATTTTGAAGGCTAAGGTCCACCTGACCCAAGCCATGGTATTGTCAGTTACCTCATTTGCCTGCAAAAGCTGGACAAGGAATAAGGAAGACCAAAGAAGAATTGATGCATTTGAATTATGGTTTTGGGGAAGAATGTTGAACATACCATGAACTGCCAGATGAATGAACAAATCTGTCTTGGAGGAAGTACAGTGAGATACTCCTTAGAAGCGAGGATGGTGAGACTTCATCTCACATACTTTGAACATGTTATCAGGAGGCACCAGTCCCTGGAGAAGGATATAATGCTTGGTAAAGTAGAGGATCCAAGAAAAAGAGGAAGACTCAGTGAGATGGATTGACACAGTGGCTACAACAGTGTACTCAAACATAGCAACGATTATGAGGGTGGAACAAGACTGGACACAGTTTTGTTCTGTTGTACACAGGGGTCACTATGAGTCAGAATCAACTCAGTGGCATCACATAATAACAATAGTTATTTAAGATAGTATTCATAAAGACCTGTTCTCTTTATACACACTTAACGGCAAGCTCTGTATGTAATGTTGTTGGAATGAAGTCTTCCCTTTGTCAACACAATTATTTGAACTATATTAGGCCTATTCAGCACTCAAATAATATCTCATTTACGTATGGCGACACAGTAGATGGTATTCATTCTTACGCAATGCAAATATCAAGAATGCTGGTTATGACAATTTATTATTACTTGTGAATAGTTTGAAGAAGAAACAAATGGTTTCAGCTTGGAGTCTTTTATTGAAATCTCATTGACTTCCATTCTTATATGCTAAATCCCATTTGTTTTCAGGCCTGACAAAGGTTCTCTGAGGCATATGAGGTGTATAAAATAGGAACTGGGAGCTCTGGTAGCATAGTGCCTAAGCTACTTGACTGCTAACCAGAAGGCTGGCAGTTCAAACCCACCAGCCACTCCTCGGAAGGAAGGTTGGGCAATCCTACTTCCATAGTGATACTGCCTCGGAAACCCAAGGAGGGGTCACTATGAGTCGGGGCCGACTCGACGGCAAATAACAACAACAACAACAACAAAATAGAAACTAACTAATATTTCCTTAGGGAGCCCTGATAGTGCAGTGGTTAAGCACTGGGCTGCAAACCAAAAAGGTTGGCATTTTAACTCACCAGTAGCTCCACAACAGAAAGACCCTTAAAGATTACAGCCTACAAAACCCTACAGGGCTGTTCTACTATATCATCCTTGTAATGGAATTGAGGCAATAGCACACAGTCACAACAATGGTCCTTTGACCATTGAAATGCAAATGAAGTAAACAAATGAATAGCAGAAAGATGAGGGAGGCATGTTCAAACTACTCAAGACAATAAACTATTGTTAAACCTTTTAGACATATACATTTAAAAGACTTTAATCATAAATTCTTCCTATCTGTTCTTTATAGCCAGTCTCTAAGGACTTCTACCTAATGTTTCTTCATTAGCCTAGTTTGAGTTGCTTTAAGCCTTGAAAGACCAAAAAAAAAAAAAAAGTCGTAATTCTATAATTATTGACTACTTCTGAAATTCTTTAATCAGAATTTCTCATAAGTCATATATGTACTCACTGAATTCAAATCAGTGAAGTGGTGTGGTGTTAAGTTTGAAGAACAGTGAGGCATGTATACTTTCAAAGTGCTTTGTCATTATTCATTCTAAAATAGAAATTTATCTGACTTCAGTTTCTCCAAATGATGAGGATCTGTGACACTTAGCAGGAGCAGAGAGACCTTGTTCCAGTGAGGTTTCAGGGAACCTCCTACATCCAAGCTGGATCCTTCTAATGGTTATCATCACTAGTATCATCTTGGGAAGAACCCCTGGATAATCCCTTCTTGACAGGACTAGTCCTTGGCTTTCCTTCACCCACTTTGCTATATCTCCCACTGAGAAACACAGAAGGAATTGATTATATTACTGTTTTGACCTTGGGGGTTCCCGACTATTGGAATTCCAGGTACCAGTGTTCTCAGATTTAGACTGCTAACTGATTTTCTACCTTAACACTACTCAGTTATACGTAATATTCAGTTACCACACCCCCTTCCAATGTATCTGCCATTGAGAACTCACAGGGCAACTTTCAGATCATTATTCTGCCTGTTGGAATTCTAGACTGTTGTAATTCCAGCTGCCAATTGTCTCAGAGGAATCATGATTGCTATTTCATTTTTCTCCTTTCTCAAATTGATTTGACATAATACCCAGTTAATCCCAGACGTTCAGACATATGCCGAAAGTGTTAGTCCTATTTTGGCTTTTTCAGCAGAGGTGATGAGCACTTGGTATTTGGGGATGCTTGCTATTGTTCATTGGTAGTGTCACAGCATGACTGAGCAATGCATGGTGGCACAGAAGGAAGTGTAGATCTGGCAAATTCCAGTGCATTGTCTGAGCTGGAGTGTCATGTTGGCTGTCAACACTGCTCAGACTAAATGCCTTGTTGCCAACTGTCCAGTCATTGGCAAAGTCTTTAAGGATTCCTAGCTTATCTCATGAAATGGCCTCTAAATAGGAGATCATTTTTAATATCAGAGATATAAAAGGCTTTAAGAGTCTAGGAAAATTTGCCTTCACTTTTGAATCTTCAGCTCCACCTAGTGTGAAAGAACACTGCAATCTAAATCACAAGCTCATAATGAAAAACACAAAGTGATGGCAGTTTTAATTTATTCTGAACCATAAGATTTTAAGCATGCATGTATCAAGGATTTCAAAAAACCCTATAAGATAATCAGATGGTGTGTATTTTTCCATACCATTGGCGCCTAGCATTTTTAATTCTGGTGGCCTTACCATACATACAAAGCAAGAGGGAGTAAGTTTCTAGATTGTGAAATCTAGCTTCACATGTCTATCCAGATACAGTATCATATGGCAATATCTCTTTTAATAAATTACCAGAAAAAACAAACTCACTGCAGTGAAGTCGGATGTGACTCATAGCGACCCCTCCTTGGATTTCCAAGGCTTTATCTCTATGGAAGTAGATTGCCCAGGCTTTCTTCCAAGGAGTAGTTGGTGGGTTTGAACCACCAGCCTTCTGGTTAACAGTCAAATGCCTTCAATAATTAGCACTAGAGTGTTTTTTTGTTTGTTTGTTTTTTTAAGTAATGAAGAGAAAAAATAAATAAATAAGGAGGCTTTAACACTTCCATTTGGTGTCAGCTGATATTTTCAAAACCCATATTGGGGAAAGATTTTGTTGGAATAGGTCAGGCTACCAACTCCTGAACCCACAGACCAGTCATAAAATCACTAAAGTGGGACAACCTGACATATGTCTCATTGTACATGATGTACTTGGAAGTTCAGAGCACCTGCCGTGAAGAATTCTTGCCAAAAGATGAACCAAATCTAATGAAGCCTGTAGATCTCAAGAATCATTTAGAGGAAATACGGTAAATAGAGAAACAAAGTATACAACCCCACAAGGATGAAATCAACCAAAATCCAGAATGTAGGGATATTTACAGGACAAGTGACCTAGTACTTCAATCACAGCAGGAGAAAAAAAAAATATATATATATATATATATATATATGTATATATTTAAAAAGTAGAAACTATTATGAATTAAAAGAGACTTAAGGGATATACCAAACGTCATATATGACCTATTATTTGGGTTAGGATTCAAACAAAATGACTTTAAAAAGACATTTTTGATATTTAATAAAACGTTCCTTTGTCTTGTGCAGAATGTATAGAATATGCTCTTTAATTTAGTAAATATTTTTTAAAAGGTAGAAATGCTTTGTTCCCAATAAACCAAACCAAACTGCCGTTGAGTCAGATCTGACTCATAGTGACTCCTCCTGCCTTAGACACTATGCCACCAGAGATGCTTTGTTAGCACAACTAAGATAACTTTTAATCATAAAACTTCTGAAATTCTTGTCATTTTTCCGCATATCAATTGGAAGCTGTTTAGCAACTTATTTTTGTTTGAAGTGTGATTTTTTTTTCCCTTTTCTTTCCAACCTCTTTTGCAAAAAAAAAAAAAAACAATTGAGTTTATGGTAATGAATTTAGCAGACTAATTTTCATATGCTTTTTGAGCTGTGTAACTTAATATTTGGATACTTGATAATTTGTTTTATTATGTAATTGATAAAAGGGTGTGTTAATATTACTTCAGCTATATATTTATACTGTGTGAGTATGTGTGGTTACAGTTGTGTAGGAGAAATAATTTATCAGTGTTCATCAGCTTGTAAAAACAAGTTGCAAGAACTTGAACATTTAAATAAATGATGAAAAGCATATATATAGGATATTTTTGAGATAATCAGGGAAGATTGAACATAGACTGGGTAATAAATGGTATTAATGAATTAGTATTTATTTTCTTAAATTTAATAATGGCATGGTGGCTTTTTTTTTTTTTTTTTGGTTATTATATGTTAGTGATAAAAATGAAAAATAAAATCTTTCTTACAGGGAAGTAGAGGACCAGACGGTTACCAAGGCCCTGATGGACCTAAAGGACCTAAGGTGATCTCATGTTTTATTTGGATGGTTTTTGTTTCTTCTCTTTAGATGGTATTATGTCAGAGCATAGCTGCATCATCTCCTAGCTCATCTGTACTGGATGGCTCAGACACCTTTGTCAACAATGTCATACTCTGAACCGTGGAAAACACAGTTTCCTGGTGATTTCTGGTGGCTGACAAGGATTTCAAAATGAGAGATTGAAACCTGCTGTATCAGTATTCATGTTGTTGTTGTTGTTGTTGTTGTTGTTGTTATGTGCCGTCAAGTCAGACCCGAGTCATAGCGACCCCTCCTTGGGTTTCCAAGGCAGTACCACTATGGAAGTAGATTGCCCAACCTTCCTTCCGAGGAGTGGCTGGTGGGTTTGAACCATCAGCCTTCTGGTTAGCAGTCAAGTGCCTTAGCCACTATGCTACCAGAGCTCCCATCAGTATTCATAGGTGGCTGGAATACCTGGGACTCATGACAGTAGAGTGGACATTGTTCCCCATGTACAACCTGTGGTCTGCTTAGTCAGAATACCTACTCAACTAAATTAGCTTGATTCTCCAGATTCAGCTCAATTCTTCAGAAATACACATATTTTCAAAAACTCTAAAAGGCGATTCTTCTGCTCTTCTATTTTCTGCTTCTAGGGAGAAGTGGGTGACCGAGGCCTTCCAGGACCACCTGCCTACTCTCCTCATCCTTCCCTAGCAAAAGGTTTGTATGCATGGCTTAGCATCACATACACATTTTGTTCTCAGTTTTGGAAAAAGAATCAAGAACGTTCAAGAAGGGTTTTCTAGGGAAAAAGACAGAGAGAGATTTAGAAAACCTAACATTAGGAGAATCTCGATCTCTTGTACAACTTTCCTCAAGGTTTAAAAGTAGTACACTGAGGTCATCGTTTTCCCTCTGCCTGACAGAGAATTCACTTTCTCCCAGGTGAGCCCCTTCCACTGGGAAATTCTTTCACTTCTTGGTAACTTCTGCAGATTCGAGTTGGCCTTCTGGAATATCATTCATGAAATCCAATTCTTTACCACATCAACTCTCAATGGCAGCAGTCCCAACCACCTTCCATCTTTCCTTCTCCAAATGAACCAAGATTCTTAGTTCATTCTTAGTTCATCTTAGTTTTTAAGATTCTTAAACTGTTCATTTGCCAGTCTGAGGATTGAAATATATCATGACTCTTAAAGAGTCATATCCTTTTACATTTCAAGGCATCTATGTCCCAGAGATTCATCATGTGAACTGCTACCCAGGAAGGTCCTCCCACAGTCCCAGTTCATCCTCTGAGGCTTAATAAAGGCTTTTGCATGCGTTGCAGCTAATAGTCATCTTGTTATTTTATGCTCAGCCTTCCAAATTAACGAGACAGTATTGAAATATGATTCTGATTCTGTGAGTAGAACTCTGAGCTGTGAATCTTTTTGAATGTTCATCTGTTGTTGTTGTTGTTAAGTGCCGTCGAGTTGTTTCCGACTCATAGCGACCCCATGCACAGCAGAACGAAACACTGCCCGATCCCGCACCAGCCCCACA